AAGTAATTGCTTGTAAACGTTGATCCTGCCTGGTCTGGGGTGTCTCGGAAGTTCGAGAATGCACTATTTATTTATTTATATATTTATTACATTTTAGCCGATGAATACGACTTTGTGTAATGATATCCTGCATGGGATATGGGCGTCCGAGGCACGAATATAGTGAACAATACTGAACCTTCTCTCGCTGCCTTCTGCTAAATACAATGCACAGTTTTGGTATCGGTTTCTGCGCTCATTTGGGATTACAGCATTTTAAACAATGAACTAGACTAGCTGCACGTTTGCTGCCAGTGTAATAGCACACCGCTCCAAGTCTTGTGGTCGTTGTATATAGGCTCCATCAGTGGCACATTTGGTGTCTATGTAATAGGCTACAAGTGGGTTGTAATAGCACACCACTCCAAGTCTCGTGGTCGTTGTATATAGGCTCTATCAGTGGCACATTTGGTGTCTATGTAATAGGGTACAAGTAGGTTGTAATAGCATACTGCTCGAAGTCTCATGGTCGTTTCGTTTGGACGAGAATTGATAATTCAAAATCAATTTAGGGTTTGGGTTTACGGCTACTGCATTGCGTAACTATAATTAATATGTGGCTTTCCGCTTCATGTTTACGATATACTTTTACCATGAAACTTTCGTTGCTGAAGTCCAAGTGGCGTTGGAAGATATACTGGGTGACCAAAAGGTCGTGCATAATGTGTACCCTTGCACTGCTGAGGGCCAAATGTTTGGTCATTTAGGGAGCTACAACACTCACACGACGGCACACGCTTTCGCTGCTCGCGCTGAAGGGATGCATATTCCTTCAACGTTACGCGGTAATCGAGTACAGACTGGTATGTACGTACTACCACGAATTATTCGTCGCCCGTGGCGCAATAAAAGTCACTTGCGCTGACAGAAAGTGCGGTTACAATGAAGGATTTAACGCACTAAACAGCGCCGATAATTATTTAGAACATTAGTTAACAATATCCATGGACATCTAAAGACATTTGTCTTCATCTCCTTTTGCTTCTGCGTGAGTGGCCAAAAGCACACTTCGATGGGAGGGCTCGCTGTACATATGTTTGGATAAAATGATAATTCATAGGTAAAATAATGCTGCATAAGATTCCTATGAGTTTACAAAAGCTTCGCTGTTAAAGAAGCTACTTAATTATGTCTGCTATGATGTGTCCACTGCTATGAAACTCACAAACCCCAAGTGTTACTTATTTCATTACATTAATAATGCGTTTCACATTAAAAATTACGAGGCTAAAAATATTGGCACAATAAAAGACTCATTAAATAGTCCAGGACGAAACTAAGAGTGAACGGCAGGAATTTTTAATAAATGGGCTCAGAAACGGTATGATTATCTTTTATACCTTGTAGTGAATAATTTTTACTTGAGTTACCAATATTGCAGTAATGTTACGCATATGTAAGGCAATGATAGCTGCAAAACACTCCACACTTCCATGTTTCCGCATCGAAACGTAGACACCTAGTAACGCCAGTTGGATATTAGCAATTTTGCAACACAGCGTGCCCAGCTGATTGAGTGGACACCAGTTTGCATTCATTTCAAAACTCTTTTGCTGCACATATCGTCTGTGTTCTGTTTTGCGTCTAACAACATATAGACAGGACGCCGAGAAGACGCATAAAAGATAACCAACGTACTGTTAACGGACACTCGTGCCAACAAGCTTGTCACAGAAGAAAGCTTTTACGGTATACGTTGCGGAAATACAACGTTTTAACGGACGTCCAAGATTGCGAATTAGATAAATACAGCATCCATGAAAACAAGAGACTTAATTTTGACTTTTAGCATTACAATGCGCTCACTGTACAATATTGGACATAAGGTTTAGTTCAGCTGGGACTGGAACGATAGGAGAATCCCATTAGTGTTCCATCTTGAGTGGATCGTTGAGCCAGAAATTGAGGAAGTGCTCAGTTATTGATGGATCTAAAAGGGAACACCCGTATCGCACCCTGGCCAACCAGTTAATGCTCACGCTTCCTGTCCTAGCAGTCCCTGCTGTGGCAGTCACGTGAAGTAAGCAAAGGATAGGAAGAGAAATCGAAGGTACAGAATAAGGAAATGCACTTAAATAAGGAAATAATACCAATGCGTGAAGAAAAGAAAATCGAAGTAGAAGATGCGAGTTACTCGGGAAAATGGAAATGTTTCGTGTTGCTACCCAAGAGCGACAATTCGCCGCTCAAACCCCGTAACCGTAGATTCCCTGACAACACTTTCCGGAAGCATGTTCCAGTGGTCGATAACTCGGCGTGACAACCGGATTTCCACCCTAATCCGACCGGACCGCGGTTTGTCCAGCTTCAAGGAATGACCGCGTAGTACAGACCATCTAGCAGGACTAAATAGCCAAGCTAAATCTGAACCAACCATCCCAGTTAGGATACGGTAGGTTAGGATTAGGTCTCCTCTAAGCCTTCGGTAGTGCATTGAATGCATTCCCAAACTAAGTAGACGCTCGGGGTACGTCCGTCCCGTAATCCCTCGACTAACCTAGTACCCACTCGGAAAACCATCTCTAGCTCCTTTTTGTCCTGGACGAGGCAGGGCAGATAAGCCTGGACGCAGTTTTCCAGATGAGGCCGAACGAATGCCGAGAACAGCCTCGTAAAGATGCCGCTCGTCAAGGCTCCGAAAGAACGTCGTATTAACCACAACATGCGGAAACCCCTGTTTGCGGCCTTCTTTCAGTTGTCGCCGGAGTGTAAAGCCGAAGAGTGTACGACGCCTAGGTCAATCTGGCTAGATACACGGGGAGTTCGACCACACCGACCAAGTACTTCGTAGGAGGAAAACCTCCTCCAATTCGAAGAACAGAGCACTCTGCTTAATTTATGGGCAGTATTCATAAAGCAGACCAGTCCCAAATCTTATCCAAAGCTCACTGAATAGCTTCGGAACCCCTAGGAACCTCAACAATGTTCCACAGCTTCAGGTCATCAGCAAATAGCAGCGATTTTACCTCAAGCTCCGCGGGTAGGTCATTCACATTGATAGAGAACAACAGCGGTCCCTGGACCGAGCCCTGCGGCACGCCGCTGAGGACAGACTGCCTAAATGATATGCCCTGGCCTACCAGTACACACTGTTCTCTACCCTCCAAGAAGGCAATCACCCAATGAAGGGCGCGGCCAGATACCCCGTAGGGGGACAGCTTTTGCGCGAGCCTCAAATGTGGTACCATGTCAAAAGGGTGTGGAAATTTCTTTGTCTAATTAATTTACCAAATTTACAGCATTGGTCAACCGTATTGCCAAGCACTCGAATCGGCGGCAAACGGTTAATAGCTATTTATCACACTAAAACACAATTTTGAGGTTACACCAGATTAGTATGTCAGAGTCTAGAGGTCAATTGTTTTACTCCCGGCGGACCAATCAACAAAAGTCACCATCTTTAAAGTACCCTGCTAGGTCTGCGACTACCGGGCAGCCAACCTTACTTAGTATCGGAAGGAAACTGTCTACCGATAGGCGGAAGCCTCTATTGTCCGTTTGACCTGACCTGACTTGAGCAATGGGCAAGGTATAATCCGTTAACCGAAGCTATTCAGCGAGCATTGGATAGGCTATGGGACTGGTCTGCTTTATGATTACTGCCCATAAATTAGGCAAAGTGCTCTGTTCTTCGAATTGGAGGAGGTTTTCCTCCTATCCACGATTTGACCTGACCTGACCTGACCTGAAGTACGTGGTCAGTGGGGTCGAACTCCCCCGTGTATCTAGTCAGATTGACCTAGGCGTCGTACACTCTTCGGCTTTACACTCCGGCGACAACTGAAAAAAGGCCGCAAACAGGGGTTTCCGCATGTTGTGGTTAATACGACGTTCTTTCGGAGTCTTGACGAGCGGCATCTTTACGAGGCTGTTCTCGGCTTTCGTTCGGCCTCATCTGGAAAACTGCGTCCAGGCTTATCTGCCCTGCCTCGTCCAGAACAAAATGGAGCTAGAGATGGTTTTCCGAGTGGGTACTAGGTTAGTCGAGGGATTACGGGACGGACGTACCCTGAGCGTCTACTTAGTGTGGGAATGAATTCAATGCACTACCGAAAGCTTAGAGGAGACCTAATCCTAACCTACCGTATCCTAACTGGGATGGTTGGTTCAGATTTATCTTGGCTATTTGGTCCTGCTAGATGGTCTGTACTACGCGGTCATTCCTTGAAGTTGGACAAACCGCGGTCCGGTCGGATTAGGGTGGAAATCCGGTTGTCACGCCGAGTTATCGACCACTGGAACATGCTTCCGGAAAGTGTTGTCAGGGAATCTACGGTTAAGGGGTTTGAGCGGCAACTTCACGCTCTTGGGTGGCAACACGAAACATTTCCATTTTCCCGAGTAACTCGCATCTTCTACTTCGATTTTCTTTTCTTCACGCATTGGTATTATTTCCTTATTTAAGTGCATTTCCTTATTCTGTACCTTCGATTTCTCTTCCTATCCTTTGCTTACTTCACGTGACTGCCACAGCAGGGACTGCTAGGACAGGAAGCGTGAGCATTAACTGGTTGGCCAGGGTGCGATACGGGTGTTCCCTTTTAGATCCATCAATAACTGAGCACTTCCTCAATTTCTGGCTCAACGATCCACTCAAGATGGAACACTAATGGGATTCCCCTATCGTTCCTGGCCCATCTGAACTGAACTGAACAACTTCCTTCCTTACCCAAGTGGTACATTTATCGTGTAGCCTTCAAAGCAGCAGTACATCGATGAATTGAAGTAGATGTGATGTTTTTAAGGTAATTGTACTGCAGCAACGTAGGGTAACCAATGGTAAATTTCGCTTTTATGCGTCCGGTATATCAAAGAACACAAGATCCATTTCCTAAAATAGATGTGTACTATATCGATTGTGCAAGGAAAGCTTATCTCGCTCTAAATTTGGTTCCGAGGCTTTGTTATAACACTGATGCGGTGTGTTAGGTAGACAGTTACAGGATTGTCTACGACAGAGTATGTTAGGGCGTTGTTCCCAGACTGCTGAAGCAAAGATGCTGATTTTATGTTCGGATGGTGAGAACAACGTTATCATGTATCATGAACTACGTATTTGTACTTCTGAAAGCTCAGCTTTTGTGATAGCCTCAAGTGGGGTACCATGTCAACTACTTTCGATAAGTCGACGGAAAGTATGTCCATTACGTGACCATTGTTCGCTGCCTCAGCCCTTCACAAGCAACCAACAAATTCGTGAGACACGAAAAGCGCTTCCGGAATCAGTGCAGTGCACTAGTTAGTAGACTAAATCTGTTCAGGTGACCTTCCAACAAATCTTTCACTAGCTTTTCAAGCAGTTTGACCACGACCCTAGTCAGACTGACTGGCAAATAATTGGCTGATTGACTCTGTCGCCATTTTTGAAGATAGGACAGGTGACAGCCTCCTTCCATTCAGAAGATAATGTACAGTTTTCAAGTGACTTCTGAAACACCATCGTCAGCAGTCCCCTTAGTTCCGCCACCACCTCATGCAGAAGCTTCGGGTGAATTGAATCAGGCCCAGCTGCTTTAGAAGGGTTCAGTTCTTGTAGCAGCCTAAGGACTTGCGTTTTCACCACAGTAAACTCAGGTACATAAGAACCCTCAGGTACTCTGGGGACAAGTTCAACGCTAGCCAACACGGCCTCACGTACAAAAGCCCCTGCATATGCTCACCAAGTACATAACCCCTGTCAGAGTCCGCATACGCATGAGTTCCATCGGCCCGCATCAAAGTTGGAATTATCGAATTTGAACCACGGCGGCTCTTAAACGAACTTCGGATTTTCCGAAGCTCCATCAGACAATCCGTTTAAGTACAACAGCCCAGCTTTCCTCAAGTGTTGTTTACATCTATTTCTAGCCTTGCGGTACCTATCATAGGTGCTAGTTGATGGAGCGGCACGGTAGGTCCTCCAGCACCTAGAACGCTTCTGGAGCAGGTACTTGCCAGTGGTATCTATCCACAGGGGGCCGTGATCGTGTACATTTCTCCTCGCAAGCGGGATGTAGAAAGCGGACACTTTCGTGAGATAAGTAAAATTTATCCCAGGCTGCCTGGACCGTATCGGCCACCGAGATTTCGCAAAGCAACCCAGAAGCCTTGCTACGCATTGTCTGATAGTTCGCACGCCATATGCTTGGATATGGTTCAGCGATGCTCTCGCGCACAGCTGAATGATAAATAGACATGATCGCTGGCATCTAAGGGAGAGCCGTAAGTGATGTCACCTACGAAGTCTAATGACTTGGTAAAAACGAGGTCCAATATAGACGGTACTTGGGCGTCCACGTACCTAATGAGGTCCACGAACTGATGCAACGGTATTTGCAGTGTAAACTCAAGAAGATCTGCACCGAAAGTACCTTCACTGAGTTGTAAGAAAGATCCGTCCAGCAAAACTTTGGTAGAATGAAGTCACCCAGTATCAAACACCTGTTCGCGGATTGGGAACAAATAAACTCAAGCGCCGCTTTGGATACACTCCCAGGGTTTCTATACAAAATCACAACTGTAAGTTGAGCCGAGGAACTGCTAAGCACTACCGATAGAGCTTTGACAGTTTTGTCGACTGACTTAAACATGTAAATACGCTAAACGTCAATTTCACAGTTAACATAAAGTGCGACACCCCTGACTAGTCAGCCAACGAAGCGATCATATCTAAATAGTGCGTAGCCAGACAAATGTACTTCACCGTCCGTGATGTCCTGAGACAGCCACGTTTCAGTGAATGCGAGTATATCGGGATGAGACACATCTACGAGCAGACATATCTCGTACATCTCATTCCTTAGGCTGCGCACATTGCTTAGCACTATCTGGAGGTATTCTTAACGTCCAAAGCTGGGTTGTGCGCAAACAGAACGGGCACTGGTAAGGCGTAAAAGGGCCGCCGATTAAGCATCCGAAAACCCATCAACCAGAGACCTTGTTCACCGACCCCTCGCCTGGTTTTAAGGTCCTTGATGACCTCTTTTAGCTTCAGCCGATCCGCTAGCGGCATGTCTGACTGAACGTTAACATTAGTACCACTCAGTTTACAAGCAAACCGCAACAGCGCGTCGCGTTCCTTCGGAGAGGATAGGACCTTACAAAGTAAGCGCAGTCGATGGTTTAACGCGTTAGCTAGTCTAGTTAGTTTCCTGACAGTAACATCGGGTAACCAAGGCGGATGAAACTTCGTTACGCAAATTTTAAACCACTGTAAGTCGCCCAAGGCACGTTCAGCAGTGGATTACACTGTGTTACGGAATATCACGCTGTTATCCATTAAACAATTACCTCGACAGGTCGTATTTATCACATGGTTTTGAATGTACATGAACAGCATCCGACTTAGCCGCAGGCGATGAGACTGGGCGCACGTTATCAGGCGACGCAGAAGCAACTGTCGTGTACGTCATGTGCTCCAGTTAGTTTGACTCATGATTCTTGACGGCATTCAAACTGGCCTGAAGATTACGGGCAGTTCTGTTCCGTTCTCTCTTTCGTTCAACGGGCGAAGAAGTCCGTGGCTCGACGTGGATGTCAGCCTTCATGACCTGTATCTCCGAATGACAGGATGTGATGCTTGGAGTAAGCACCTCTGCAGCCTGTTTAGCACGCGATGGCGATATCTGGTGCTTTTCACCCACTGCATGCGTAGCCTTAGATGCAGCTTTTGTAGCGGGCTTATACGGCTTACTAGACCTCTTTCATCGCAATTTAGTGCGTTTGTCAGCCAGGAACTCAGCATCCTTCTAGTAGAGCCATAAATGCTAACAGAAGTCAAGAACTGGAAGATGGACGAAACAAGCACTCACCTAACAAGCGTCCAGCTCCATGTGCCAATAAGCGAAACTGGTCTATTCTTTAGATTACTTGCGCTAGAATTGATGTGCGGGGCAACTTCAGAGCGACCGTCTAACGATAAGCGATCGAAGGATTATCGGCTCCGATGCAGCGCCCGAGCGCTGCATTCGCGAATGACGAACAACCAGTTTGATGGCTATGTTGCTTCGGTCCAGACTGCCAGTCGGACATCGGCACATTTTATTACATGGGTAAAAAGCTGGAGATTTACATGACCCATAAGGTATAAAGAAATAGGGTCAGGTCATATAGAAAGGCCAAGCAACGTTACAGTGGGTTGGATAAGCGTATTAGCCGTATCTTCATCAGGCCTATGTGGCATTTAAACAGAATGTACGCCGGTTCGAAGCGTGATACCCCACCACGCTCTCTGTTACAGCTAGTGAAAGAAGAAGTGTAGCATAAAGTGTCTCCATCAACACGTAAATCCGGAGCGTTAGGGGTAGAGGAACAAAGTGCTGCGCCTGGTGAGAAGCGGCATGGAGATGATTGGGTCTAGTCTGGGGTATGGTATTCAAAACTGAAGGTAGATGTCTCAGGGGGGATCACGATGCAGATCGACAAGATGACGGTCCAGGCGAGTCTTGAAATCATCCACAGAAGATGCAAAGATTACGTCGATAAGCAGGGTGTTCCACGGTCGGCAGACTCGCAGGGTGAAGAAATGTCGCCTGCAGTTCAACTGGCTGCGCTGATGTGTGAGACGGAGTGGGTGACCACGAAGATGGAAGCATGAGTAGTGCAGTTTCAGTAAGTGACGGCAGAAGTGTTCAGGTTGGATAGAATTGCAGATATGAGGATCGAGTCGCCCGAAGTTGTCGGTATTTCATGGTGAAGAGACCAAGGCGACGGAGCCGTTGTGGATAATCCAAGTGTCTGAGACTCCGTACTAATTTGGTCGCCCGACATTGTGCAGCCTCAAGCATACGCTAGTCTTTGAGTAATCAGGGGCTCCAAGCTTGAATAGCAAACTCCAAGTGAGGACGTAGGAAGGCGTTTAGGAAGAAGCGGAAATTCCGCAGGTCGATTTGGTCGAGGGCACGTTTTAAAAGTCCCAGCATGCGGTTAGCAGCAGAGGCTGCTTTTCGGCAGAAAGCAGCTACTGAAAAGTCGGTTTGGGTGACGATACTCAAATCTCTTTCAGCTGACGAGACCTGCAGAGCAGACTCTCTCAGAAAGTGTATTGGAGAAGCGGAAGGGCGGGTGGAGAGGACGCGACATTTCCAAGAGTTAAACGGGAGGTTGTTTTCCAGGGGGCCACTAGTGCAGACGGTTAAGATCTCTATCGTATCGTTTGGAGCATTGATTGTGCGCCACAGCTTCGCGTCGTTGGCGTAGAGCAGCATCGATAACTCGATCTGTGTTGTGATATCATCGATGAAGGACAGGAAGAATTCCGGTCCAGGAACAGACCCCTGTGGAACTCCACTTGTTAAAGGGATACGGGAGGATAGCGCTCCGTCGACACGTACTTGGACGGTACGGTGGTAGAGGTAGTTCCGGATTCAGTCCATTGAGGCCCCAGAGATACCGTAGAACGACAGCTTATGCATTAGGGTGGCACGGTCGACTTTATCGAAAGCCTTGGGGAAATCTGAGAGGATTTATGTTTCCAGGCCGGTGTCAGCCACAGTCCTCTAACTTTCCTGTGCGAGTAGCAGGTTACTTAGGCATGGGCTGGCATGCTGAACAACCTCCTCGTGGTGCCAGCTGAGTGGTTCGGGATTTTTCCGTTCCAGCAAATGGTTCGGCGGCAGTGTTCCAAGACGTGGTGGGTTTTCGCCTGGCAAGCGTTATGCCTATAAAAAGCCACAGATGTCTGTTTAACAACACTGACGTGGTGGATGTGACGCCACTAAATGAAGTCCATGCTCCTTGCCCCTCCCTGAGAGGCATTGTACTTCAAGAGTGCGTTCGGCCCCTGGTGCTTCACGGACCGAAAGGCGCATAAGCCATCTAGTTGGACACCGGCTCCCAAAGGGTTGCGATGCCCTCACATTGCCCTGCTGCCCTGTAGGTTAGACCTTTTAACAAAGGCTTGCGGTAGAGCCCCCTAAGACAACCCTTCACTTCGGCCTAGGCAACCGGGTAGTGTCACGTCCACTGACGAATCATGGACCACACTGCTTACTACTGCTTTTGCTATGTCTGTCATGTCTGCTAACTCAACTCCTCATTCT